ACTATGGCAATTGCTTCCCTTGTTGAATTGTGCGACGTGTAGGGACAGCTTGATGCCATATGTGACTGCCTGGATGTGACGAGGGTCTTTGAGCCAGCAAAAGCCTAAACTGTTTAGACATTACAGGACATCTTTATTAAAGGTATACTGTTCCAAAACAGCAAATAACAGCAAGCACGCCTGGTTTCTTTATGCAGACGTGAACTAAATTGTTGCCATTATCACTTGTAGCAACATCCACCATCTCGAGATGTCTCTCTCCTCTTGTCTGTAAAAACAGATGACGCTCTGACATGATGGCAAACATCATTTATGGCATCATTAATAAGATGGGACAGCCTAATTGATTCTCACTAGGACTTTTGCCATTTATCTAATTATTTATGCAGTACAGCACTTTGGGCGCCTATTCAATATCTTGTGAAAATCCAAAAGAGGGTTGTTGACAGAGAGAGTGGCGCCACTCAGCCGTGCTGCCGCGGGGAGGACGAGACAAAGGTGCGGGTCATTGTCTCGCTTCTGCCACTTTGAATCTAGTCCAGTAAGCAAACTATCACAGCGCACACGGACCGCACAGTCCCCGGTTATTAGCACAGACATACAGGTGGCTGACACAAACTATAGGCCGACGCCACATGTGAAGACTATAAGATAGCACCGGCACCCAGAGTTTCAGCAGTTTGGTTGAGTTTTGCGTATTCTTGCCCTCCTATTGGTTAGTGGTTCGCTTTTTTTAAATAACTCATGACTGTTCATTTAGATTAGACGGACCTGGTAGTAAAGGTGAAATGCTGCCCTCTACTTATTTGGAGCAAGTGCCTAGGCATTACACATTGTACCTTTAAATGACAAGTATAGCTCTGAGTAGAGCCCCATGCACTTAAAAATGTTGAAGCGAACAGTCCATTGCTCCTCAGACAATGGAACCAGGATCAAGTCCCCATGGTGATAAAGCATTCACCCTGCTGAGGAGTTCCTGCATAAGGCACTTCAGGTGTGAATGTGTTTATGGAGCAATCCATTTGTGTCAGCAAAACAGCACTGTGGTTAGAAAGAAAAATACATTCTTTTGAATTGTGCCAGTGCAGATTTTTGTAATTACTATAATTGCTTGTTATGTGGTTTCACCACGCAAACACGCCGAGTTGCATTGCTTCTCTTTCCCAGTATGATAAAGACCATGCTCAGTTGAAGACATAACACCCCAAAGCAAAGTCTTCACTGTGATTATAGATATGACGATGATGTAGATGGCTACCATCTGCAGCACCCAAGCACCTACAATCACAGTCGCAAACAGAATCCGAGCTGGAGGGTATAATTGCTTTAACACAGTGTTTCCCGACTCAAGCGATATTGGGTATTTTTTATTTAACACCCATGCCCCAAAACAACACCAATTAGATATTTTTAATTCTGATACAATATCCATTGGGAAAAAATTAATTATAAGGGTTCCAACTATATACACATGTGGCACTGGTGGGAATAATTGTCATTTGGCATTTACATAAGTGTCATTATGTACCGTGACACACAGACTGAGGAGGTAATTGTAGAGTAATTGTTGATGCCACTGTAACCTTTAGGGACACAGGACTTTGGCTTTTCTGCTTCCTGTTCTGATTGGCTCTTCACTTAATACATCACAGAACTGTTTCTCACACGGGTCAACGGCTCTCCCGCAACCATGGCACCAAGCTCACCAATTTCATTTAAAGGCATACTATGCAGGAATTGTGGCTTACTGCTTGTAAACACAACATTCAAAGTTGGCCTCTCCCTCCCCACGAGTCAACGACACCAGAAGTGCACGTCTCCTGGCAGCGGTTGCCAGGACACAGCACAGTGGACCACCTGCAGCATCACATGTGGAAGCAAAAGTGAAAGCCAACCCCAGATTCATTCTTGTTTTGGAACTAGCTTTGTCCACTTGGGGTTTCGCCTCGCTTTATTCGCATTTTACTTTCAGTTCTGTGTGCTCCATTAGCTTCCTCTTGGATGCGTGCATGCACATATGGTGAGGGCTACACACCCAGTGGCTAGGAAACGTCCAGATTAAACACAGCAAAATAAGAAGTAAATAAGAAAAGACAGATGGCAAGGTTTCCTCAGATACAGACACCCCCCCCCCCCCACACTTCTTTATAAGTGACGATTGAGCGGGATTTCTTTTGTATGAGTCTATAAATAGTTTTTTAGGAACTTCCTGAGCCATATATTCATTCCCATGAAATAATATTCAGTTTCTTCCTTTTTGCGGTGCATCTTCTCCAGACGTTTCACTCCACCACGGAATTTTCAGAGCAAAAGCACAAAGTGCACTGCTTCTAAAGAGAAGGAATGAATTGCAGGAGATTTGATTGGTGCACCACCTCACTGCTCAACCACCACCAAAAGCACACCTTTTGCACTCAAACTTACCAAATATCAGTTGTATGCCTTACAACGGGGAATTGATTGGTTCGTGCTGTACACCAACAGCAATTATAATGAACAT